AAAGGTCTCATTTCTCAAACATATAGAGAACTGAGTCAAATTTATAGAAATAAGAGCCATTTCCCAATCGATGAAAGATAGGATTAGTTTTCAGATGAAGTAATCAAAGACATCTATAATCATATGAAAAAATACTCTAAGTTACTATTGATTGGAGAAATGCAAATTGAAATAATTCTGAGGTAAAACTTCATACCTATTAGATTGGCTAATAGGACAGAAAAGGTAAATGGCAAATGTTGGAGAGGATGTGGAAAAAATGAGACATTAATGTACTTTTGGTGGAGTTATGAACTGATTCAACCATTCTGCAGAGCAACTTGGAACTATGCCCAAAGGGCTATAAAACTATGCATACCCTTTGACCTAGCAATATCACTACTGATTTGCCTGACTGGCCCAGCTGGCCAGCTGGGTCCCCATTCAGGCAGCTGAGACTACTCAGAGGTTATTGTTAGTCCTTAGTTCTTGAAGAGGACCGTGACATCAGGGAGATGATGACATGACATGCAATTTAGTGAGGGAGGGCTGTTCAAAGTTACCAGCCTCACTTTCTCCTCCAGTGTCATCTGGGTCCAGTGGCGCAATAACAATCAGGGGGGCTGGAGATGGCCCAAGATGCAGTGAGAGACCTTAGCCCTTTGCCAGTCCTCTCCCCTCCCCTTCCCTGCTCTCCCCTCCTCTCTCTTATCCTTCCATCACCTCCACTCCCCTCTCCTCTCCTATTACCTGAGGGTGTTATGCCCAAAGGAAGGGAATTTTTGATGGCCGAAAAATACATAGTTAACTTGGGGTTTACTGGCTAGATTTCTCTCAAAGACCAAGGCTTAAGCCCAATTCACTCTGGATCCTGTGGATTGGACAATAGGTCCCAAGCACCACTTAATGGTTATTTTGGGGCCCTCCTGGCTCAGAGTGAATGTAAATAGTAACTGTTTCTCTTTTGGCCAGCAACCCTAAGGGTCTTCCCCTCCTAATTTGAATTTTTTTTTTATTAAAGGGGCCATCACTTGACTCATATGAAATATACTGTATACAAAGTAAATAGCAGTATGGTAACATGATCGACTGTGAATAACTTAGCTACTCTCAGCAATACAACAATCCAGGACAACTCTGAAGGATTTATGATGAAAAATGCTATTCATCCCCAGAGAAAGAAAGAACTGATGGTGTCTTGAATACAAATTGAAGCATACTTTTTTTTACTTTATTTTTCTTGAATTTTTTTGTCTGTGTTTTCTTTCACAACATGAGTATTATGGATATGTTTTGCATGACTACACATGTATAACCTATATTGAATTGCTTGCCTTCTCAGTGAGGAGGATGGGGAGGAAGAAAGGGAGAAAATTTGGAACTCAAAGTTTTTAAAAATTGTTCTTACGTGTAACTGGAGAAAAATAAAAATAAAACACTTAAAAATTAAATAAAAAAGAAACCAGTCATAGCACTAAGAAGGAAACATTTAACATGTAAAACTAGAAGAGACATATGAAGCCATCCAGGCCATCCCTCTTATTTTATAGATGAATAAACCAGATTCCAGGGAGAATCAATGATTTCTCCAAGGTCACAGAGCTAGTAAATTGGAACCCCTGCATCATAAGGTAGTAAATTCAGTATCTGAGCCATTATTGGTGCTGGTGCCCTGTGCCTGTTATTCATTCTATTTTCTTAACTTCTAGTAGCCTTAAAGTTAGAAGAACACATGCTTTTCTAATATGTAGCCCAGCTGTACAAATAAAAAATGCGTACCAATAATGTACACAGCCAGTAATGTAAATGAAATCATGGAGAATGAAAATGGCAGAGCTAGTCAAGATACTGTCCAGGACTCAGCAGCCTTAACATTTATTAATATTTATTGACTAACCATAACATTCAGGTCACCATAGAATAGGGTGACATGCAAAGCCACAAGGTATCTAACCTTATTTAGTGAAACTGTACATAGCTGAAAGGAATAGTTATTCTATTTACTTGGTGGGTTTTGTGAGGGGCAGGAAGGGTATTTTCTTCTTTCTTCTACCCATGGACCAAATAAACAAGGGGCTATAGGGAACAAAAATGAACCTATCTTAATATGGCACCTAAATCCCCTCCACCCCTGTAGGCAAAAGGACACAGCCAGTCTCTGCCTCGAAAAGGCTTCCATTTTCTGGGTTTCTGGACTTTTTTCAGTCTGCCATATCTATACCTTGCTTTTCAGAGGGGAAAAAGTGCTAAAATATTAATCTCCACTTATAAAATTCATCTGTTATCCTCTTTCTTCCAGTATCTTTAATCATTTTTAGTAATTTAGGCTCCTAAAGAGAATGCTGTTAAAAAAAAATTACAAGATTACTTATCTGTTTGTATGCTGTATCTGTCCACTCGAATACTCTATATCAGTTGAATACAAGTTGCTTAAGAGCAAGAATTATTTCTTATTTTGTCTTTTTGTGCTTAGCAAATGGCATAATGCCTTTGGTATACTATGAACTTGGTAAATGCTTATTGGATTGAGTTAAGAAGAAGATAGAGTCTATTCCTCAGTCTAGGTTTTCTAAATATTATTCATAGAAATTATTTAATTTATAGACTGTTTCTGAGAAAAGATGGAATGTTGCTAGGACTCTGAAGGGTAATGTGTCAGAAGATAACATTCATTTGGAAATTTTATTCATGATGATGGTATGGTATAATGGAAAGAAGGAGAAGGCTAAGGTTCCAATATTAGGGCTGCCACTCTGTAAACTTGGGTATAACATAAGAATCAGATCATTTTAGGTCTATAGCTAGAAGAGATATTCTAATTCAGCTTACTCATTTTACAGATGAAGAAACTAATGCATAATAATTTGCCCAAAGTCACACAGGTAACAAAAGAAGAATTTGAACCCAGGGAATCTACTGCTCTTACCACTGTACCACATTACCTCTTATTTACTTTGCCACTCTGAACTTCAGTTTCTTCATTTATAAATTATAAGTAATAATACTTGTACTACTTAACCCAGAGTGTTAATAATTATAATAAATGTAATATATTTATAATATTTATAATAATAATATATATAATTATAATAAATATAATATATTTCAGAAGGGTAAAAATTAATATGTCAACTGTTATTGTCATGTGACTCACTTCACATCCCAGTTCTCTGAGATGTTAAGTGAACAGATTGGACTGACTGGTACCACACCAGGCTGGAAAAGTTGGCTGTCCTTGCTGGGGCACAGCAAAGGCCCCGATTTATACAGTCTTGATTAGGTTGGGCAGTATCAAGGAAGGTAGGAATTAGTCAGTCTGGACAAGGGTTGTGGTAGGTAGAAAGACACAGAGGTGGAGATGTCCAAAGCAGTACATCAGGAAGACATCAGATGGAAGGAGTTCTGTGCTTGGGTATATCATTGGGACAGAGTATTGTGACAAAGGCTAGCATCTAACTATGGTTTTGTATCCTTGAATATTGAGGGTATTGAGGTTGGCTTTGGTCTCCAGACGGAATTTTTTGGTTTTGTTGTTCTTGTTATTGTTACCATCATCATCATCACCATCACCATCATCATTTTTGGCTAGGAAGATCCTCATTTGAACCCTGTGAAGTAGGTACTACTACCCAATCTTACAGATGAAAAAACCAAGGCCTGGAGAAGTTTACCTTACTCAGGATCACTTAGTTTGTAAGCTTCTGAGACACAATTTGAACTCAAGTCTTCCTGACTCCAAATCTAGTACTCCAGTCTGCTGGGCAGACCCCACCAAATTATGATGGGCTTAATTCTTCTAAGGTCCAAACTTTTTTTTTTTGGTGAGGCAATCAGCATTAAGTGACTTGCCCAAGGTAGCATAGCTAATAAGTGTCAAGTGTCTGAGACCAGATTTAAACTCAGGTCCTCCTGACTCCAGGGCTGGTGCTTTATCGACTGTACCACATAGCTGTCCATGGGGTCCAAACATTTAATCTTCAGCATCCCTCAAGCAATTTCTATGTCTATTTTCAATGAGAGGTTCTCATTGTCTAATATGAACTAGGGCACCCTAGAGCATACATGTGTCCAGGAGGTCTAGTCATTGGTATCCATGTCTTCTTATTCATCATACAGTTAGTTCTCTGGAAACCCTACCACTCCTGAAGCAAAGGTAGGGGCTGAGCAATGTGGTACCTGACCTCTAAAGGCCCTTCCAACTCTAAAATTGTATTTGTTCATGATATAATGGCCAGTAATATTTTCCATTACTGACAGCTTTACTTAGCAAGTTTTTCAATGTTTCTCTGATGGACTCGGTCATTCCATCCTGCCACCAATTCAATAGCAGCTATAACTGATATTACTCAGTGCTTGAGGAATGTCTCTGGGGCAAAGACAAACAAGAGTGGTGATACAGGAAACTTAAATGTTCAATTTTTGGTTTGTGCTGAAATATCTTACAAGAAATATTTTATATGAATAGAATTCATTTTAAGACAAAACTTTTCACATCATGCATGTATATTGAACTAAAAAAAAGCACGGCTTAGTGTGGATAGAAACTAAAAGAAAGCTATTAGCGATCGATGTGGGCAGAGAGTGCACCCTTTGGAGGAAACATGCAGAGGAAACCTACTCTATAAATATAACAAATAATCAATAATGGTACAAATTGAAGATTTTGTGTGGAATTTGAAGGCTTACCCTTCTGATTAAAATGACTTCCAAAGATTTCAGCGTGTAGTTTTGGTATTGATCAGACCCCGAGAGGTACAAATTAAACAAAGGATTTTGCCCTGCAAAAGTATGTTGAAAGCCAACTATCACTCTTCTGCAAAACATTTGTCATTTTCCCTTTAGAAAGTCAAAACTGTGTTTGCTTGTGAGATTTGGTGTCATCATTGTTAAGAAAGATGAAGTAAAATGTGGACTCCTTACTAATAGAGAAGATTTACTGGAGTTCCAGAAATGTGCACTACTTAGGTTCTGGCTGTATAGCCCCTAAATTAAATATATTGTCTTTTTCTTCCCTTCCATAGGGAACTACTGGAATGCTGCTTCATTCTTTACACCATCATCCTACCTTTACTTCTCCACTTTCCAAGGGGAAACAAGTGCTGACATTTCTTTCTACTTCAAAACTTCAGCTGCTGATGGAGTGTTTCTGGAGAATCTGGGGAATACAGATTTCATCAAACTTGAGCTGAAATGTGAGTTTATTCTGTTCAGAACCCCAATTAATAACCATGGGGGAACAGTGTTGGTTGTGGGAATGCCATCATTCTGGTTCTGTACTTATAGAAAACTCGAATATATAGTTAGTTTCAATCTCTGTTGAAACTCAAGTGATACTGATGTTAAAGTGATTTAGCCAGGTTAAGCTAAAGTGAAGAAGTGGCGTAACAGTGTAAATAGGTGTAAGAAAGGCTTGAGTTCAAGTACCATCTCTGCCACATGTTAGCTGTGTGGCTAAGAGAAAGTCATTTAACCTCTTACTGTTAAAGTAAATCTCTAAGACTATAGTGACCAATGAGGAAACCGAGGCTCAAAAGGGATAAAATATTTGCCTGATGTCACAACATGTCACATCCAAGGCAAGATTTGAACCCAGGTCCTTTCACTGTAGAATCAGCTCTTTCTTCTGTACAACACTGCCTCTCAATCAGCAGCAGTGGAGGGGAGTTTTCCCAGAAATTCCTTGGGCTGTAAGCTTACAGATCTAGACCAAAATCCAAATTCCAGTGTGGTGCTAATAGAATAAAGATTTGATGGAAAATTAATGTTTTCTACTGTACTGTTTTGGTGAGTCCCAAGTCTGTCTGGATGTTTCTGGATATCTGGAAGTATCTTGATATTGAATCATTTCTGTAGAATAACACAATCACATTTATTTCTCAAAACTCTCCATATTCAGAGGAAATGTGATGGTCCCTTTTGCTTCTGAAATAAACTAAAAAATCCTCAGATTGATATTCAAAACCCTTCACAGGTCAGTTGCCACTATCATTTCATGCTCCCCTTTGTTGTTGTTGTTGTTCAGTCGTTTTTGTCGTGTCCAACTCTTCATGACCTCATTTGGCGTTTTCTTGGCAAAGATACTGGAGTAGTTCATTATTTCCTTCTCCAGATCATTTTACAAATAAGGAACTGAGGCAAACAGGTTAAGGGACTTACCCCAGGTCACACAGCAAGTGTTTGAGGCTAGATTTGAACTCAAAAAGAAAAGTCTTCTGACTCCAGGCCCAGAACTCTATCCACTGTGCAACCTGGCTGCCCCATTTACAGTCTCCATTCCAGTCAAATTGGAACCTTATCCATTGTGCATATACTACATTCTATTCTCCTTCCTCCATTCCTTTTTATAAGTGATCCTCTATCTCAACTATAACTCAACTCAACTCACTTTCTCTACTCTACCTTACTAATGAAAATCCCCTTTTTTCAAAACACAGTTAGGGAGCATAGTAGATAGAATCCTGGGCCTAGGGTGAGGAATCCTTCCTCAGACACTAGTTATATAATCCTAGGCAAGTCATTTAACCTCTGTCTGCCTCAGTTTCCTCATCTGTAAAATGGAAATGATAATAGCGCCTACCTCTCAGAATTGTCATGAGAATAAAATTATACATGTAAAGCACTTTATGAAACTTAAAAGTACTGTATAAATGCCAACTGTAATTATTATTATTATTGTTTATTATTATTAAACAACTTGGGTTTCACCTCCTCTATGAAATCTGTCTTGATTCCCTCAATCATTACTACTTTCTCCCTCTTCAAATCACCTTGCATTACATTGTATAGGGATTGTATACAACATTGTGCACTAACAAGAGCACTGAACTTGGAGTGACAGGACCTGAGTTTCAATCCCACTTGTGCTACTTAATACCTGTATGATATTGAACAAGTCCTTAACAACTCTCTGGACCAGAATTTCTTCATCTGTGAAATGAGAGGGTTGTATGGTATATCTGATCTTCCCAACTCTCAGTTTCTGCTCCTCTGATGTGCCCACCACCACCACCATCACAATCACCATCCCAATGGAAAGTAAACCACTTGAGGATGAAGACTTCTTGCTTTTTATTTTTGAATCTCTAGGTCCTAGCACAATTCATTGCCCATAGCAGGCTTTTGGTGTTTGTTGAATCGTTGCATGAATTGAGGCATGAATTATTGAATTCACTTAAAGCCAACTGCAAAGCTATCAAAATGGAAGTTAAAGGGGAAAGGGAAGCACTGAAGAAATGAAAGTCAAGCACTGAAAGTGAGATGTCAGAGAAGATTTTGGAGAGAAATTGGGGGAAGACAATAGAACAGGAAGAAAAGTAATTTAAAGGACATTTTGGAAGTTACTGGAAAACAGAGCATGGCTGATTAAATAGTTTCAGATCAATCCTTTTTTAACTGTATTTTTTATGGTTTTCACCAACAGAATATATACTTCTGCTAAAATAATTTTCAAATGTCTCAGTGGAATGACTTTGAAATTAATAAAATCAAAGGGATGGAGATGGAGACTAGAACTGGTACTGTGATTTCATCGATAAAGAGAACTTCCAGGTAGAGGAAACTTTCTACCACTGCAGGTCAATCCTTTGTCTGCAAATTATAATCTTTGAGAGTTGACTAGAATACTCAGTAGTCAAAGCCAGCCAGGATGTCAGAGGCAGGACTCGAACCCAGATTTTTCTGAGTTTGATGTCAACTCTGTACCCAGTATTCTACCACTAATCAAGTAACTCAAAAGCTGACTCGTATACTTATCTTTTTATCACTGGAGAAAAATAGGTTAGGCCAGGAATAATGTATAAGGATTTTTTTTCTTTTTCACAATTTAATAATAAATTTAATTTTACAATTTAATAATAAATAAGATCAAAGAATCTATGTTTTCCCTGGGACACTCACTCAACCAATGAGGAATGCAATCACTGATAATAATAATTTAATAGCATTTATACAGTGCTTTAAGATTTGTAAAGTGTTTCACTAGTATTATCTCATTTTGATTCTTACAATAACCTTGAAATTAGGTACTATTTTTATTCCCATTTTAGAGATAAAGAAACTGAGGCAGAGAGGAGTTAAATGACTCACCAAGGGTCACAAAGCTAATAAGTACCTAAGGGCAAATTTGAACTCAATTCTTCCTGATTCTAACTCCTGTGTGCTTTCCACTGAAGTTGAGTCACTGGTCTTCATGAGTTACTATGACTAAGAAAAAAAAATTCTTCCTACAATAGGCCACCTTCAGATGATGCATTTCCTTACCACCATCCCTACCTAAACTGGGCTTTGGATAACAGTTGCCAGGCTAGTATTTGAAGCTTTTCGTGTTTAGTAGACCTTGCATTCCACCGGCATAGCTTTGGAGAACCAAGGGTCACGATGAGGCCTTGGAGTAGTGGAGGTCCAATGGTAATGAGACAGTTTTAAATTCCATCTGTTCAAATTGAAGGATAGGAGGAAATGAAGCAGCTTTCTAAGAAGAAAAGATATTAGAAAAGGGTAAGGGGCACCATTTGAAAAGAATGTTTTGAAAAGAGTGGCAGAATAGAGAATAAAGGCAGAGGCCCTGAATAGGAAATGTAAGAAAGTCATATGTAAGGGGATAGATAGCACGGAAGGGATATAATCATAAAATAGAAATGAAAGGATTGGATTTTTAAAGGTTACATGAAATAGAAGAGTTGAGGCTAAACAGAGATTATGCGGCATGTGCTGCATAACAAATTGTTGGCCAGAGTCAACATAAGCCCAACAGAAAATTCAGGGGAATAAAAGAATATGCTTGCACAAGGGAATCATTCAATTGAATTCATTCAATCAGTAAACATTTATTAAGTGCCTACTATGTGCCAGGTACAGTGGTAAGTGCTCAGGATACAAAAAGGGGCAAAAGACAATCCCTGCCCTCAAGTAGCTTACATTGTAATGAGGGAGATAACATGCAAACAAATGTATACAAAGCAAGGTATATAAAAGATAATAGGAGATAATTAAAAGAGGAAAGGCTGGAATTAAGAGTGTTTGGGAAAGGCATTCAGTAGAAGGTTCCATGTTAGTTGACACTTAAAGGAAGCCAGGAAGGGTTTAAGGAAGAAGAGTTTCAAAATACCTGATTTCTAACTTTAAAATCACTTGGAGCTTTTTTGCTTTGCTTTGGACCAGTACAAATTTATGTTGATGTTGACAGAATTGTCTATTTGGTTTGCCTATAAACTATGGATAGCACCTTGCTGGTATGGGAGAGGAGAGTGGGGGTGGGGAGCAGAGATAGAGAGAAAAAGGATGATAAACTTCGTAAGGATATAGGCCCTGTAGGATAACAGAAATCTTGTGCCTGCTGTTCTAGGTTTTTATCACATTGCCACTTTCCATATATTTTGTGGACTAGCTACACTGGTCTGATCTCTAAACCCTGAACCCTCTGTGTTTTCTATTGGCTCTATACCTTTGTTTATGCTATTTGTTACACATTGTTTGCCCTCCCCCTTTTTACCTATTGAAATCCTTTTCATCCTATAAAAACCAACTGAACTGTCATCTTTTCTGTGATGCTTTACCTAATCTCCCTAGTGAGTAATGCCTTTTCTTCTGTGACCTGGCATTGTACTTTGTTTTGCATCTTGCTAATGCTAGATGATATTGTGTATTGCAGTTATCTGTAATTATGTCTTATCCCTGAACTTGATTATAAGTCTCCTGAAGTTGAAATTGTCTCATCTAAATTTTATATTTATTCTGGTACACAGTAAATACTATAGGTGCTTAATAAATGTTTATTCTGTGAATGGATTAAATCAAAAAAGAGGTACAGAGCATTCTGAGAGGTCTGAGAAGGGAGTAATCACTTTTGGGGGTAGAGGTGAAATGGGAAAGGGACCAGGAAATGATAGGTAGGTAACATTTTGGTAATTCCATACATGTCCCAACAGGTATCCAGATTCAAATTGAATCTCAATGCAGCATGTTCTTTCCACTGTATAGAGTTGCTTCCCAGAATATATGCTATTACATGTCACTGAAAAAACAGTTAAGAGCACTAGAATACCAGATTCAATATGTATTTATCTGTCATCAGTAAACAGACAGGAACTGTCCAGTGCTGAACAGTAAAATCCAAATATGGAAAGATCACTCAATTTGAAGTCAAACCACCTCGCTGAGCCTCAGTTTCCTCTTCTTTAATATGAGATAGTTG